GGAGGCTGAGGCAAGAAAATCGCCTAAGCCCAAGAGCTAGAGGTTGCTATGAGCTGTGACACCATGGCACTGTACTAAGGGTGACAAAATGAGACTCTGTCTCTAAGAAAAAAAAAAATTAGCCAGACGTTATATCATGAGGGTATAGTCCAGCTACTAGGGAAGCTGAGGTTCTAGCCCAGGAGTTGGAGAGTTGGAGGATGCCTGGGCCACACTTCATCTCTTTAAAAAAAAAAAAAAAGGTGAAATCAGCCCATGACCCTACGTTAGCATTGTAAAGGTGCAAATTAGCATTCAAGGTGTGTTCTCTTTCTTTCTTCTTCTTCTTATTTTTGGAGACAGTTTCACTTTGTTGCCCTTGGTAAAAGTATCATGGCATCATAGCTCACAGCAACCTCAACTCCTGGGCCCAAGCGATTGATTCTCTTGCCTCACCCTCTGAAGTAGCTGGGACTACAGGTGCCAGCCACGACACCCAGCTATTTTTATTTTTATTTATTTATTTTTGAGACAGAGTTCAAGCTGTCGCCCTGGGTAGAGTGCCATGGTGTCGCAGCTTACAGCAACCTCAAACTCTTGGGCTTAAGTGATTCTCTTGCCTCAGCCTCCCGCCCCTGATATTTGTTGTTGTTGTTATTGTTGTTGAAGTTGTCATTATTGTTTTAGCTGGCCTGGGCCGAGTTCAAACCCTCCAGCTTCGGTGTATGTCACCCAACCCACTGAGCTATGGGCGCTGCCTGCCCGGCTATTTTTAGAGGAGGTTTCACACTGGGTCAGGCTGGTCTCAAACCTGTGAGCTCAGGCAATTCACTCGCCTCAGCCTCTCAGAGTACTAAGATAAAGGCGCGAGCCACCACGGTTAGCCTGAGTTCTCTTTCTTTCTTCTTCACGTTTTTTTTTTTTTTTTTTTCCTTGAGACATAGTCTTAAACTGTTGCCCTGGGTAGATTGTTGTGGCGTCCTAGCTCACAGCAACCTCCAACTCTTGGGCTCCAGCGATCCTCTTGCCTCAGTTTTTCTATTTTAGTAGGGATTGGGGGGGGGGTCTTGCTTTTGCTCAGGCTGGTCTTGAACTTGTGAGCTCAAGCTATCCACCTGCCTCGGCCTCCCAGAGTGCTAAGATTACAGGTATGAGCCACTGTGCCTGGTCTGAGTTCTCTTTCTTGTTCACATTTAAAAAGTAGTATTGGCTTGGCGCCTGTGGCTCAAGTGGCTAAGGCGCCAGCCACATACACCCAAGGTGGCGGGTTCGAATCCCCAGCCCGGGCCCGCCAAACAACAATAATGGCTGCAACCAAAAAATAGCCAGGCGTTGTGGCGGGCGCCTGTAGTCCCAACTACTTGGGAGGCTGAGGCAGGAGACTCGCTTAAGCCCAGCAGTTGGAGATTGCTGTGAGCAGTGAAGCCATGGCACTCTACCCAGGGGGACAGCTTGAGGCTCTGTCTCAAAAAAAAAAAAAAAAAAAAAGTAGTATTAGGCTTAGCGCCTGTAGCACAGCAGTTATGGCACCAGCCATATACACTGAGGGTGGCAAGTTCGAACCCAGCCCGGGCCAGCTGAACAACTGCAACAACAACAACAAAAAAAACAGCTGAGCGTTGTAGCAGGTGCCTGTAGTCCCAACTACTTGGGAGGCTGAGGCAAGAGAATCGCTTCAGCCCAAGAATTTGAGGTTGCTATGAGACATGATACCACAGCACCCTACCAAGGGTGACATAATAAGATTCTGTCTCAAAAAATAAATAAATAATAAGAAGCACTATTAGGGGCCAGACTCGTTCACATTTCAAAGCAATATTAGGGGCTGGGCTCAGTGGCTGACGCCTGTAATCCTAGCACTCTGGGAGGCCAAGGTGGGTGGATTGCCTGAGCCAGAGTGAGACCTCATCTCAAAACAATAGCCAGGGGTGGCACCCATAGCTCAGTGGTTAGGGCATAGGCCAATACACTGTGGTTGGTAGGTTTGAACCTGGCCCAGGCAAGTTAAAACAATATTAGACAACTGCAACAACAACATAAAATAGCCACATACCAGGGCAGGGAGGGCAGCCTCCTGTAGTCCCAGCTACTTGGGAGGCTGAGGCAAGAGAATCACTTCAGCCCAAGAGTTTAAGGTTGCTGTGAGCTATGACGCTATGGCACTCTACCAAGAGCGATAAAGTGAGACTCTGTCAATAAATAAAAGGTGCGGTGGCTCATGCCTATAATACCAGCACTCTGGGAGTCCAAGGCGGTGGATAGCTTGAGCCCACAAATTCGATCATTCAGCCTGAGCAAAAGCAAGACCCCTGTCTCTACTAAAAATAGAAAACTGAGGCAGAGGAGTCCTGGAGCCCAAGAGTTGGAGGTTGCTGTGAGCTAGGACACCACTACACTCTACCCAGGGCAACATCTTGAGATTGGGTCTCAAAAATAAATAAATAGGGGTGGCACCTGTGGCTCAGTGGGTAGGGTGCCAGCCCATATACCAAGGGTGGCAGTTCAAACCCGGCCCTGGCCAAACTACAACCAAAAAATAGCCGGGTGTTGTGGCGGGCGCTTGTAGTCCCAGCTACTTAGGAGGCTGAGGCAAGAGAATCGCTTAAGCCCAGAAATTAGAGGTTGCTGTGAACTGTGACGCCACACACTCTCACTCTACCGATGAGGATAAAGTACGACTGTCTCTTAAATAAAAAAAAAAAAAAAAAAAAGTAGGGGCGGTGCCTGTGGCTCAAAAAAATAGGGCGCCAGCCCCATATGCCAGAGATGGAGGGTTCAAACCCAGCCCCGGCCAAAAACTGGAATAAATAAATAAATAAATAAACGCAATATTAGTGGAAACTGGAGGGTTAGGCCCATCAGGGATGTGGACTCCCCCCTCCAAGGATAAAATAAAATCCTGCCTCTACGTTCACCCAAGCCCCCCCCCACCCCACCCCCGTCTAGTCCTGAGGACCCTCCGCGATCCTGTCCCAGGGACTTTACGCACCCCTCTGTTCAATGCCCCACGCCCTCGGGGTTGTTAGGTCTGTTAGCTCCCTGCTGAAAGGACTGTTCGTAGGAGACCCTGCTTCTGCTGCACCCACCCCCACCCCCCGCCCAAGGAGGTCCCTCGCAGAAGTGCCAGTCCGGCCCGGCCTGGCCCTTTTCCGGCCGGTGGCTCACACCTGCCACCTGCCGGCCGAGCGGGGCCGCGCGCCCCCGCCCACTCAGAGCCCTACTCAGGAACCCTCGCCCGCCCGGAATCGCGTCCTCCCTTGGAGCAGCCAAAAGGCTTTTGGCCCTATACAGCCAAACCTCGGAGCTGCAAACCCGACTTTTAAACAAATTCCCCCTTTTCTAAGGGCTAAGCCCACATAAAAAAAAATCCTGTCTTTAGACATGCTCAGAGCTTCCGACCAGTTCAGCCTATACTGAGACCCCCAACTTAAAAATTCGAATTTGGGGCTCGGCGCCTATAGCTCAACCGGCTAAGGCGCCAGCCACGTACACCTAAGGTGGCGGGTTCGAATTCCCAGCCCAGACCCGCCAAACAACAATGACGGCTGCAACCAAAAAAATAGCCGGGCGTTGTGGCGGGCACCTGTGGTCCCAGCTACTTGGGAGGCGGAGGCAGGAGACTCGCTTGAGCCCAGGAGTTGGAGGTTGCTGTGAGCTGTAATGCCACGGCACTCTACCCAGGGGGACAACTTGAGGCTCTGTCTCAAAAAAAAAAAATTCGAATTTGGGGGGCCTCCAAAGAGGAGGTGTCAATGGGGAGATGCAGGCGTCGATCAAGAAGAATTTAATTATAATGTATTGAGCACCAAGTAGAACGTGGTGGTCAGGCTTGCTGTTTGTCTTCCGTGCAATGTCTCATTTAGGTCCGTGAGATCAGTAGTATGTGCATATTAACATTTAAAAAGAATCCGAGAGGTTGAGCCACTTGGTCAAAAACGCCCAGCAGGGCCGGGCATGGTGGCTCTCGCTTGTAATCCTACCATTCCGGGAGGCTGAGCCGGGTGGACTGCTTGAGCTCACGAGTTTTGAGACCAGCCAGAGCAAAAAGCGAGACACCTTCTCTACTAAAAATAGAAAAAAATAAGGCAAGAGGATCGCCTGAGCCCAAGAGGTGGAGGTTGCTGTAAGCTATGATTCCATGGCAGTCTACCCAGCGGGACTTGAAAGCTTGAGACTTTTCTCAAAAAAAAAAAAAAAAAAAAAGGAAAGAAAAGCCCAGCAGGTAATGGCCAAGTTAGAATCCCCACGCTCTTGAGCTAGTAACTGCTCGCAGAAGGTCCTCGGCCTTGGAAGAATTACCCGCCCCGCCCCCCAAGGTCTCTCTAGCCCGCGAAACTCCCGGTCTCCGATAAGCAAAAAACCCATTTCACAGAGCAGCCTCGTTCCCCAACCAGGGGCGTACGCGCGAGTCAGCCAGGTGCCGCTCTAGCCCGCGCGGTGCAGTCGTCCCACATCTCGCTGGTGATGACGCACGTCCGTGCGGTGAGGGAGTGAAAGATGGCGGCGCCCATGGAGGTGGCCGTGTGTACGGATTCGGCGGCCCCGCTGTGGAGCTGCGTTGTGTGGGAACTGCACTCAGGCGCCAACCTGCTCACGTACCGCGGCGGCCAGGCCGGACCCCGCGGCCTGGCGCTGCTCAATGGCGAATACCTGCTGGCGGCGCAACTGGGCAAGAACTATATCAGCGTCTGGGAACTGCAACGGAAGGTCCAGCCGTTCGGTCTAGCTGCTGGGCTCGTGTGTTGGGGAGGGGATGAGCTGGGTTCCCGAGACTAAGGTCCCAGGAAGGGTCCGTGTGGGGCTGCAAGGCACCCAAGTCAGGAATAGGGGTGTGGGGGTCGGTTAGGGCGCTCTGCGCATGTGTAGGTCAGAGGGTGTGTGTGGGGGGGGGGTTGTTTGTTTTGTTTTTTTCCTGTGGAAAGAAACGTTAGCTTTGGGGCCTGTGTGATCAGCGAGACAGTTTCCGCACACGTGGATCTGAGGGTGGGCTGTGGCCAGGGATGAGGGCGGGTCTCCTTGCAGCCTGCATCAGACCGGCGCTCTTGGAGAGTTGGGAGAGGTTGGCGGATCCCTTGGGGCGACTGCTCACACAGGAGCCTGGAGCGATAAATTTGATGAAAAGAGCCAGACTGGGGTGCTGTGGATCTAGTGGCATTGGAGGAGGAGACAGAAGGTCTGAGGTTTGGGGGAGCCCTCCTAAGGGGTAGCCCTAGCCCAGGAGACTCATGTATTTATTTTACAGTGCCCTAAATGTGACACAGACCTTCACCATGGACCCACCATTTCTGTTCTATCAACAACCCCAAATTGCAGCCCTTGAAGCTGCTTGCTGCCTCATCTGCCCGCTGAAGTCTCTTGGGGCAGACTCTGTGCTCTGGCATTGCCTGATGGAATACACGCACAACCTATACAGTTTTCCCATTTTGGAGATGAGGAAACTAAGGCTCAAGGTCATAGGTTAGACATTAGGAGCAGAGGGATTGAGGCCCAAGCCTACTGAGCATTGGACTCTCAAGCTGCATAGTACTCCTGGATCCGCTTTGCCCCACCAGGATCTCTTCCCCAGGAATTTTTTGGCCCCTTTATACAAAGGAAACATGGGCCTGCTTATAGCTCCCACTTCCACCCTTCAAAGCCTGGTGTGAACACTTCCTGGCCAGACCATGCATTCTCTCAAACTACCCTGTTCCCAACTACTCTTACTGATGCTTGGGAGTCTAGTGTCTGGCCTTACCAGCTGCCTGCATATCCCCTTCCCTCACCATACTCCACTGCCGTTATGGGCTTCTGCACCAAGCTCATGAAGCCTGTTATATATTCCCAGGACCAGCTTCAGCAAAAGATCATGTGCCCTGGGCCTGTCACCTGTCTGACCACATCACCCAACGGCCTTTACGTCCTGGCAGGAATTTCAGAAAACATATACCTGTGGGAGGTAAGAGGATTGGGGCACAGGGATTTTCACATAGGGCACACTTCCAGAAGGAGTCTCACCTTCAGGGCATAAGGGAGCCATCTTTAGGTTTATTTTTTTGTTTTTTTGTGAGACAGTCTTACTGTGTTGCCCTCGGTAGAGTGCTGTGGTGTCACAGCTCACAGCAACCTCAAACTCTTGAGCTTAAGCAATTCTCTTGCTTCAGCCTCCCAAGTAGCTGGGACTACAGGTGCCTGCCACAATGCCCGGCTATTTTTTTGTTGCACCCTAACTGCTGAGCTACAGGTGCTGCCCACCTTTAGGTTTAGATCCCAGGGCTGGGGCACCTAGATGGGTGGTTGCTTGGGGGTGTGGTTTCCCCAGAGATCCTTGTAAGTGTCAAATAGGTGGGGTCTTTAGATGGCCATGAGTATTCACCATGCACAGGGCAGTGCAGGGTGGTCCCTAACACACACTCTGCAATCTTTTTGGGGGCCAGCATCTTTTCCAAGTTGGTACCGTGTTTCCCCGAAAATAAGACACTGTCTTATATTTTTTTTTTTTTTCAAGAAGACACACTAGGGCTTATTTTCAGGGTATGTCTTATTTTTATTAAGTATAATACAACAATCTACATTTATTCAAATACAGTTAAGTCATCTTCTTCTGGAACCCGACAGGAGAAACTGACCTTGTTGGTGGGGCTGGCACTAGTGATGTGTGAACTCCTTTCCCCTAGCCATTTGCACATTCATGGTTACCACACACATGCATACCCACACAAATGTGAACAGGTTGGAGAAAGGAGCTGTGGCAGATAAAAGGTATTCCAGTCTTCCTTACCGCTCCGCACCAAAACACATGGCATTTTAAAACTTTTTTTTTTTTTGCAGTTTTTGGTCGGGGCTGGGTTTGAACCCACCATCTCTGGTATGTGGGGCCGGTGCCTAAAACTTTGAGTAGTATGAAATGCAGCATATCTGTATAGCCACTCCTATCACTAGGTCTTATTATGAGGGTAGGGATTATATTTAACAAATGCATAGAAATCCTGCTAGGGCTTATTTGTGGGGGTAGGTCTTACTTTCAGGGAAACATGGGAGTTGCACCTGGGGCTTATGACTTCAAAGGTACAGAGACCAAACATTGTCTCTGCAGGAGAGCAGAGTAAGGTTTTTCAACCCTTCCTTCCTACTGGAGAAACCTGGTGATTGTGCCGTCCAGGCTCACACACAGCTCAGCTTCTGTCATGTAGTCTTAGCTTAAGAAAGAGAGTCAGGGCTCGGTGCCTTTGGCTCAAGTGGCTAAGGTGCCAGCCACATACACCTAAGGTAGCGGGTTCGAATCCAGCCCGAGCCCGCCAAACAATAATGGCTGCAACAAAAAAATAGTCGGGCGTTTTGGCAGGTGCCTGTGGTCCCAGCTACTTGGGAGGCTGAGGCAGGAGACTCACTTGAGCCCAGGAGTTGGAGGTTGCTGTGAGCAGTGAAGCCATGGCACTCTACCCAGGGGGACAGCTTGAGGCTCTGTCTCAAAAAAATAAAAATAAAAAAAAAAGAAAGAGAGTCAACATTTCAGGCTTGTGTATAAGCCAGCTACCCAGCTCCGCCTTGGTCAGAGAAAGCTTCTTTGAGTAGTATGAAATGAGTGAGCATGGAGGCCAGGAAAACTTATTTGCAAAACCAGGCCTCCGTGGGTTTGGCCTGCAGTTACTGGGTTGGCTCATTGGCCATGTTGTTATTAACTATCCATTATTATTTGGGGGGAGACCTGCCCTTGCCACAGGGTAGGCAGTGCAGAACACCTCCCCATGGAGCTGCCAAGAGAACTACATGGCCTGGGCATGAATTTTCTGAGTGATAGGGCATCCAAGGCTTTTAAACCTTAGTCAATGACTTTGAAACTAGGATGCAGTTGTTTGGGCAGAGAGAGAGAAGCTGAGGCAGGGAGTAGCACCTCACAGTTTGCCTATCACTGTCCTCACCTTGGTTGACATCATTTTGGTGCAGAGGAATGGGTAGAAATCAAATGACTTGTCTCCCAGTGGGAGGTGTACTAGTCTGTCTGATGCAACAAGGCTGCTGCCTGGCCCAGGCTACCGGACCCTGATGTCTTTCTGACCCATATCAGTTGTGGCCATAAGGGGGCGCCCCGCATGGCCAGCCAGAGGCCCAAGCTCAGGCCAGGGTTGGCTTGGCTGTACCTGCTGCTGTTGTGGGCTGAGAGTGAGTGGAGAGAGGCCTACCAGGGGCTTTGGGCTTGAGGATTGGTCTGTCCTCTTGCTCACACATGGTGACGGGAACCTCCCAGGAGGTGTGACAGGGCCCATGCTGGTCCCAGGCCTCAAGACTTCCTGGACAGGCTCAGTGCCTGTGGCTTAAGCAGCTAAGGTGCCAGCCACATACACATGAGCTGGCAGGTTCAAATCCAGCCCAGGCCTGCCAAACAACAATGACAACTGCAACCAAAAAATAGCCAGGGGCGGCACCTGTGGCTCCAGGAGTGGGATGCTGGACCCCTATGCCAGGGGTGGTGGGTTCAAGCTCTGCCCTGGCCAAAAACTGCAAAAAAAAAAAAAAAAATAGCTGGGCATTATGGCAGATGCCTGTAGTCCCAGCTACTTGGGAGGCGGAGGCAGGAGTATCGTGTGAGCTCAGGAGTTGGAGGTTGCTGTGAACTGTGATGCCACCCTAGTCTACCCAGGGCGACAGCTTGAGGCTCTGTCTCAAAAAAAGACTTCCTGGACAGTAGAGGCTATGTAAGCTGACTTCTTTGAGATTTAGGGTTAACTGGATCCCATTTAATTGACTACCATTCAGTCCTCCACTGCTTTAGGTTAGGCCCGTCTTGCAGGTGAGGTGGTCCAGTCCCAGAGAAGGAGTGTGGGTAGTCAGGCCCTGGGGGCTACCCCAACAAAGCGCCACAAATAAGGGCTTCAGACAACAGAAACTTACCTTCTCTCAGTTCTAGAGACAAGAAAGGCTGTGCTCCCCCACCTGCCTCTTCCAGCTACTAAAGGTGGCCAGCAGTCCTTGCTTGACATTCCTTGTCTTGTAGATGAATCACTGCAGTTGCTACCTGTATCATCACCTGGCCTTTTGTGTGTGTGTGTGTCCAAATTTCCCTCTCCTTGCAAGGACACGAGTCATATTAGATTCAGGGCCACCCTACTCCAGTAGGTTCTCATCTTAACTAATTATGTCTGCCGAGACCCAATTTCCATCTAAGGCCATTCCCGGGTCCCAGAAGTCAGGACTTAAACAGATTTTGAGCAATTCAACCCACAATAGCATCTCTCCCACCCCTATCCTTCGGCAGTGGGATGTCCACAGCCCCAGCACCTGGACATCCTTCCTTACTTAGACTGAGTTTTCAGGCTTCCTGCTACTGGTCACCTTCACAAGGGGCAGCATCCCTAACCCCTCTGCCAGCTACTATCATAGCCTGCCCAGGAATAAGTTCCCATGGTGACCAAATGATCCCAAGGGAGGCCTACAGGTTCTGAGTGCAGCCTCCCCTGTGATTGCCTATAGTCCTTGGGCAGAGGTGTCGGATACAGCCACTGGGATGCACCCATGGCAATGTGGTAGTGGGGGTTCTGGGAGCTACAGCCATGTGTCCTTTTCTAGCTCAATCCCCGCACCCTTCCCAGGTCTCCACGGGTAATCTTCTGGTCATCCTCAGCCGGCACTACCAGGATGTCTCCTGCCTGCAGTTCACAGGGGACAGCAGCCATTTCCTCTCAGGGGGCAAGGACTGCCTGGTGCTGGTGTGGAGCCTCTGCAGGTAGTCCTGGGACCCTCACCCCAGGGCCCCACAGGGAAGCTCTGCACCAGGGCTGGGGCAGGGGCCCAGAGTGCAGAGGATGGGTCGATTGTCCAAGAGGCTTAACTGCCTGCATCAGGTTCCAGAGTGCTATGGGGACCATTCTGGAGTTGATTCAGATGAGGTGACAGGTGCTGGGTGGAGGCATGTGTGCAGGTGGTGGACATAGGAGGACCCCCCCTCCTCTACTCCTGAGCACCTGCCCCTCCTCCAGTGTGCTACAGGCTGACCCCTCCAGGATCTCGGCCCCCCGGCATGTCTGGTCTCATCACACACTCCCCATCACAGACCTGCACTGTGGCTTTGGGGGGCCCCTAGCCCGGGTAGCCACCGCCTCATTGGACCAAACCGTGAAGGTAGAATGTCCCCCTTTGAGGTCATTGAGCCAGGCTGGCAGCTGTAGGTCCCTGGCAAGGGCAGTGAATGTCTTCCTCCCCCATGGTTGTCAAGATTCCAGACAGCTTCTAATCCTCTAATGCTCTCAGCCCAAGGACATCCAGAGAGATGGACAGTCCAGATCTTGGAAATTCCCCCTTAGTCACTTTGCCTGGCTGGTTCCCTGGCTGTGCCCTGGAAAACTTGAGAGTATCACTGTCCTTGAGTTTTGACCAATGGTCCCAGGAGGGAGACCCAGGGTCACCAACCTGAGGAGGGAGCCCCATTTCAGAATGAGCCGAGTACCTCAGTCCCCCAACCCTGGCTCCTGTTATCACTCGGTCCTGGCCTCCCCCCATGTGCCTCCTGCCCCGTAGCTGTGGGCAATCTCCTCAGGTGAGCTGCTGCTCTCAGTGCTCTTTGACGTGAGCATCATGGCAGTGACTACAGACCTGGCCGAGCACCACATGTTCTGTGGTGGCAGCAATGGCTCCATCTTCCAGGTGGACCTCTGTACCTGGGTAAGTGGCCAGCAGGCAACGTGGGAGGACTGGACACTGGGTGGTGGCCGGTGGGACCAGTCCTTGCTGCTCATGCCTACACTTCCCATAGCCTGGGCAGAGGGAGCAGAGTTTCCAGCCGGAGCAGGATACCGGGAAGGTCTTCATAGGACATAGGTAGGGACGATAGCTAGGGGTGGGATGGTGGTACCCTCTTTTTTTTCCCTGAACGGCCAGACTCTTGATGCCTATATTCTGCCCCAGGAACCAGGTGACCTGCCTGTCGGTGTCCACTGATGGCAGTGTGCTGCTCTCAGGCTCCCATGATGAGACCGTACGCCTCTGGGATGTTCAAAGCAAACAGTGCATCCGGACCATGGCACTGAAAGGTGGGGCCCCTGGTGAGGGCCAGAGGGCAATTCCAGGGATATATTGGCGTAAGTGGGAGGGCAGGGCAAAGACAAGTGGGGTGGGGCCTGATTGTCCCCTTCCCTCAGGCCCTGTGACAAATGCTGCCATCCTGCTGGCACCCCTGAGCATGCTGAGCTCGGACTTCAGGCCCAGCCTGCCGCTGCCTCACTTCAATAAACACCTACTGGGCGCTGAGCATGGGGACGAGCCACGCTGTGGGGGCCTCACACTGCGCCTGGGTCTGCACCAGCAGGTAGGACTCCTGGTAGGCTCCTGTGGGGCCAATTCTGCCCTGGCTCCATCATTGGTGAACTCATCCTGATAAGGGGATAGGACCAGGGAGTGGGTCTCTGCACACCCTTGATAGCCAAGGTCATTTCAGTGCAGGCTGGAGGCTCCAAAATAGTAAACCACCTACTGAGAGATAACCCTTGGCAAATCATTGGGCAAAGGACCTGAAATTCCATACTTTGGGTCCTAAGGATGGAAACATCTATGTCCCAGCTCCTAAAAATTGAAAAGCAGTCTGAGGTACAGAGGATGTGGGATCTGGGAAGCCCAGCCAGCTCTTGGTAGTTCCCCAATGCACTGGGGCCTCCCAGCAGGTCCATGACTTGTGGGATTGAGTCATTATTAGGAAACATTCCACACTGGATAACAAGGCGCTCATGGAAGCCCTTGAAGTAGACTGGGCTGGGGTACAGTTGGGGTTAAGGGGTCCCTGGAGACAGCAGAAGCTTCGCAGTAATCTCCAGGGAGCTGCTATGTCCTTGGTGTCTGGTATGGGTGTCTCTCCCCCACTGGGCTCTGGGCCCTTGGCAGTTTTCTCTCAGAGATCAGAAGGTGCCTGGAACTTTTGAGGTGAAACAGGTCTCTGCCACTTGGTGTCCTATGCAGATAGCTCATTGTCCAAGAATGTCCATGTCCTGGCCCTACCTACTGCAGTGACTCCAGTGGTTCCTGCTGACGCCAGTACCTTCCACAAGGCCACCCACCCAGCTTCCCACAGCAAGAATCCTGGAGGGTCCTGGCCAGGCCCCCAGCAGTGCCACCCCCTACTTGGTACTTAAGCACAGCTCCCTCCCTGACCCAAGGGCCTCTAGCCCTCTGCAGCCCATGTTCCCAGTTGGAATCCACCTGACTGTCTATCTGGAGGCCTGGCTGCACTCAGGTGCACCTTGTCCATTGCTGTGGAATCACATGAGGCCCCCAGGGGGAGGCTGTCAGCCCTTCCCACAGATGGGAGCAATGCTGGCCATAGCAAAAGGATGACTGGGCTGGCCCCAAGGCTCTAGCATGCCCAATGTCATCCTGGAGATGGATTCCCACCCCACCCTACCCCACAACCACGTCCAACCATCCTGGTGGGTCCCACTTCTCAGGGTAGTGGCCTTGCCCAGCCCTCTGTTCTTGATTTTTGGTACAGTCCCTTGAGGCCCACTCTGTAGTGTGGCCAGTCCCAGGAACTGGTTGGGTGCAGGGGCCGGGATCAGATTTGAAGACATGAAAGCACACAGAGGAGTTATGACCTATATCCTTGAGAGGGACTGGCAGCCACCCCATCTAAATCTCCCCTTCTGTCGAATGAGACTAGAGGCCCCAGGGTCACCAACTTGGCCTTTGTGTTGTAGGGCTCAGAGCCTAGCTACCTGGAGCGGATGGAGCAGCTGCAAGCAGTCATGTGCACCACGATGGAGAAGGTGGGCAGGGCCGATGTCGGTTCACCATGGGCGGGGCAATGCTGTTGCCTACTGTAGCAGTGAGGATGAGTGACCCTCAAGTGTGAGGATCCTCGTCCTTGCTGCTAGGAGGATTGTGTAAGTTTGCCTCTGTCCTCTGACCCTGTCCCCCTCCCCTAGAATGTCCTAGGTGGTCAGGACCAGCTGCGGGTCCGTGTGACTGAGTTGGAGGATGAGGTGCGCAACCTGCGCAAGATCAACCGGGACCTCTTTGACTTCTCCACACGTATCATCACCCGGCCAGCCAAGTGAACCAGGGCTGCCTCAAGTGTATACCCCTGCCCCAGTTGGAGACCCTCAGTCACCATGCACCCCCAGACCAAGTGCAGTTCAGGATGGAGGCCCTATTTCTGTAGTAGCTAAACCCAGCGAGCCTCCCCCGGGATCCAGGGCCAGCAGAGATGGCCACCAGCACACTCCAGGGCCAGGCTCACTGTGCCAGTTTTGTGTTTTTGGGGTTTTTACTCCTGTGATTGGGTGGATTTGTCACAGTGCACTGATGTCTTGTGTCACCTTAGGTTGTGTTAGTGCTGGTCTGTTTTTAACAAAAGATGATATGAAAGCTCTCCTCTTTGGCCTCTGTGTATCCCCAGTGAGCCTCAGTGGCCTGGTACTCAGGGCAACCTCAGGTCCCCAGCATGGCTCTCAAGACCTTCGCAGGATGGCAGAGGCTGGCCTCAGCTGAATTTAGCCATCGAAGAAGCAGATTTTAAGATCCAGTGTCCAGAGAAAAGGCAGTTCTCAGACATGAGTCTGCTGCCTGTCCCTAAGACCACTCTGGTCTTCTGTAGAGGGGGGTGTCTTTTCTTTTTTTGAGATAGCTTCAAGCTGTCACCCTGGGTAGAATGGGGTGGCGTCACAGCTTACAGCAGGCATCCTCAAACTACAGCCCACACGCAGCCCGCTGAGGACATTTATCCGCCTGCTGGGTGTTTTTGCCGCCACTGCCTGTCCTGCTTAGCAGCTGACTCATCCCAAGGTCCGCAGTCGGGCCCTCCAGCAGTCTGAGGGACAGTGAACTGGCCCCCTGTTTAAAAAGTTTGAGGACCCCTGGCTCACAGCAACCTCCAACTCCTGGGGTCAAGCGATTCTCCTGCCTCTGCCTCCCAAGTAGCTGGGACTATAGGTGCCTGCCACAACGCCTGGCTATTTTTTGGTTGCAGTTGCAGCCATTGTCTGGCATGCCTGGGCTGGATTCGAACCTGCCAGCTCAGGTGTATCTGGTGGCACCCAGCCATTTGAGCCACAGGCGCCAAGCTGAGGGGGGTGTCTTGAGTGATGACAGCCCCATGGGGTCCTGGTCAGGGTGGATTGGTCTAGAGGGCCAATGTGGGGCTGGCCCCAGGGATAAGATGTGCCTTCCAGTCTAGCATTCAGCTCTGAAGTGTCAAAGGGACTACTGACTATTATGTAAGTCCATGACTCTGGTGCTGGCTTATGGAGGGGTTGCCAGGTGTAGCCAGGGTTTTAACCTTGCCCTGGGACTGGGCAGGCACCTGGATATGGGGTTCTACTGGCCACACCTGCCATGGAGGCCCTATTTCTTCCTGCCCTCCACAGGACACAAAGTAGCCTCTTCCAGGATAGGATGGAGTTATTCAAAAGCCATACCAAAGCCATTCTCTGGAAGGAGACACTTGGGCCTTCTCAAGTGGGGGTGTCTACCACACCTGCTGAAGGTGGCCACTATAGGTGGGTCAAGACGGGGGTCCCTAATAGATAAATGCCCTCTGGATACACAAGAATGTGCCTGTTGGCATCAAGGGTTGGATGAAGGCTGAGACCCCCTCCCGCATGGCCATGGGGACACTACTAGCTGCTAGCTAGCACCTGGAGGCCAGCCTATACAGCCAGAGAACTTTCTAGAAGGCTGTCCCTGACAGCCCTGCTTAATCATCCAGAAAATCCATGTGATTGAACAGGTACTATAATAACTGGGGCTGTGAGCCAGCTGCCAGCAGTGAGTTCATGCTTTTAGGCTAATGTGTGTCCTTGTTCCCATCTCCAGGGTTCTGTGCCCTTGCAGCTAGTGGCCAGGCCCTGCTGCATCAGGTTGGCTGGGGCCTTGGCCTTGAGTCTGGTGGGCTTAGTGCCACCATCTGTCCCCACTTTGTGGCCTATAGCCCTCCTGGCCAGAGAGCTAAGATGGGGCTGTTACCTGCTGGGTCAGCTCCTGCTGTCTGGGTTCAGACTCTTTGAGTGCAAAGGTCCACCTGTTCCATGCTGGTGTCCAGAGAGCCCCTCACCCCCTTGGTCTCTGCTGGACATACCCCAGTGGAGGCCCATTGCTCCAGTCTTCAGCTGACTCTAAGCTACCCTTGTTCCAGAATTGAGTACCCATTCAGCACCCTAGGAGGCTTGGCCCTGTCTGCTGGGAATAGACAGGTTTGTGGTAATGTGCCCAGGGAGGCCTCCTTTAGGACAGAAGCTGTAAGTGGTGGCTGACACACACACCCACCTTCATCTGGATTGTTCCCCTGGGGGGCCCTAAATTATTTCTGCTGTGTCCGTCTCACCCATAGTTGGGGGGAGGGTGGTGGATTACCCCTTAGGGTTCCTGCCTGTGGTCTGACTTGGTTCTTTGAACACTGTTGTGGATGGATGGATGGCCCAGGGGACTCAAGGGCTACAGGAGCCCAGGGGGTGCTCAGCATTAACTTAGAGACTTAGGCACAATGACTTTCATGCCCTTGCCATCCCCCACCAAGCCACTGGGCTGAAGTCTGTCATCTGCAGGCTGCAGACAGCTGGCTAAAGATGAGGTTAGAGTTCACTTTGAGCCAGCCAGACAGCATCACAGCCTGGCAGTTTCCTCCTCCCCACCAGCCACAAATCACTTGGTGGCCTCAGACAAGTCACACCTGGCTCTGAGACAAGGGATGGCCCTCAGTAAGATGCCTGGAGCCTTTGGGAGCTCAGCAGTTGCTCAACACCTCGGGATCCTATTTTCCTTCTTCCTATACATTTACCTTGTGATAGCCTTGGACACTAGCCCTCATCAGTAGTGACTCAGCATCTCCTCCCAGGACTTTGTCACTCTGGGGGCATCACCACCCAGAGTGCAGAGGAGGGGGAATACTCTGGTTTCATATTATGGCATAATTTATACACTGGGTGAGATAAGACAATGGACACCCCACTTCTCAATCCCCAGGGGAGGCCAGATGGCCCTACCAGGAACCCCCTAGGTGCTCCCTAAACCCATAAAGAGGAATCAGCACAAGAGGAATACTGGAAACTCAGGAAGGACCCACAGCACCCATCCTTTAATGTTTGTGCTGATGTGCTGGAGAGATGTCTTGCTGTTCCTCAAAAATTAAACAGAGCTGGGCGAGGTGGCTCACACCTGTAATCCTAGCACTCTTGAGAGGCCTAGGAAGGTGGATTGCCTGAGCTCAGGAATTCAAGACCAGCCTGGGCTCAGCGCCTGTGGCTCAAGCGGCTAAGGCGCCAGCCACATACACCTAAGGTGG